CTGTAACAATAATTTCGTTTCATGCGGCAGGCCAGCGTGTGACGTCACTTCACCTAGTCGACGCGGCCCGCTTACACTTAGAAATCTTAGAATGTATAAATTCATTGGCGTACTGTTATTTGCGTCGCCCGTATCGTGTTTTGTTTATTATATAATGGCTGAGGCTAAATAATATGCCTACAAATATTGTATTGTCCCTATTTGTAAAAGTACGACAGGTAAAACGATTAATAAACATTTTTTTGAGTAAATAATCAATTTTAGGTAAATTATCACTTTGTCCTTTTACGAAATCTTCGTCCATTATATATTCTTAATAACAATTACACTAGTCATAAATAAAAAAACAAGGTTAGAAGTTAGGATTATAGTGTGATTTTTAATTCTACGGAATGAGGGCTACCGTTTATTGTCTCACTAGATGGCGCCACTGTTGAGTGCGGTCCTGAAGTGTAGCTTGTAAAGTTTGTTAATACGCGCGTGAAATCACTGTTTACATTTAAATCATATGTTAAAACAAAAGAATGGCATCGTAAACATAATCGACCATGCCAAAGTGTAGCGCAGTTCGGTTTTGTTCGAAAAAAGTGGGACATGATAATTTTTCTTAGCTCCGCTTTCAAATAATTGGCATTCATTGGCACGTAACTCATATTTGCCAAAATTAATCTGAGTTATTACCAAATATTCAAAACATTATTTTGATTAGGAATAAACCCGCGTAGTCAACCCACAAGCAATAACATTTGACATTTCGGAGACCTCACGCTACACAAGCGCCTCTTGCGGCGGATTCATATGCGATATATCATTCTGCAAGCATAAATTTTTTGCCACATCAAAACTATTATTATTTCCCTTTAATTTATTCGTGCTGTCCTGATGAAGAAAAACCTTAACATGCTATTTTACTCAACGCAAACCGGTTATTCCTCATCGTGATTTTTGTTTTAGGTACTAACTAAAACTAAAAAAACTTTAAATAAAACTAGTTTTTACGGGTTAATGCACGAAACTTTTTTTATTTATTGACGTTTCGTAGCCTTTACAGGCTTCGTCGTCAGAATAAAAATTTATTCTCAGAATATATATTGGAAGATTTCGTAAAAGGACGAAGTGATAATTTACCTAAAATTGATTATTTACTCAAAAAAATGTTTATTAATCGTTTTACCTGTCGTACTTTTACAAATAGGGACAATACAATATTTGTAGGCATATTATTTAGCCTCAGCCATTATATAATAAACAAAACACGATACGGGCGACGCAAATAACAGTACGCCAATGAATTTATACATTCTAAGATTTCCAAGTGTAAGCGGGCCGCGTCGACTCGGTGAAGTGACGTCACACGCTGGCCTGCCGCATGAAACGAAATTATTGTTACAGGCGCTATTTCAAAGTCCCATAACTTTTTCATTTCTAGAGATATTCTAATGATTCCTTTAAATTTTCGTTTAAGTTTACTTTCATTTTTACAATTGATATATTAAAAAAGAAATGGAAACTTCTTCATTGAAAAATGGTACTTTTTTGTTTTACTTGCTGATTAGTGTTAATTAGGAAGTAACTAATTAGAACTTTACCTACTCAGAGATGGTGGTGAAAATACTCAGAGATGGGAAATTTTTGGTTTCGGGGAAATGGGTGTTTTTTTAATTCCATTTTTTATATAAAAATAATACCACTTCATTAACTTTGAATCTGTAAAAAATCGCGATCAATAGTCAATTAAACTCTTTAAATCTTTCTCATTCGGTATAGAGCATGACAAGGATCTAGATTCTAGACTGTTGTCAAATTTTATTTTATTACGCTAAGAGAATCATGCAAGAATCGGGCCCACTTAACTGTGTTCATTCAGTGAGCCCGATTCAGACCCCTAAGTCCAAAGCCCACCTATAAAGTACTCTTCGGTCCATTCCGTCTAGCTCAGTCACTCGGTCAGTCAAGTCCATGTGAAGTCAAGCAAGTCAGTCAGTCGATAATGGTTGTTAGCTTAAACTGTAAATCGATTCGATACTATCAACTTTGCTTGTAATTTTTCAATTTGTCCTTTTAATTATTTGCATCTTGGTAAGATAATGGCAGTGCACTATCAAAACAAAGTTATGTCAGAAGAGCAGAAACATATTAACGTGTCGTGTCGTGTTACGCCAGAAGCAAATCGGTTTCATATATTTACTATGGTCCGAGACATATTTACGTGTCGTGTCGAGTCGACGCTCAAAACTCTTTCTGTCTAACCCATAATAAATGTATGAAACCGATGCGTCAAGCACGCACGACGGACGCGTTAGTATGTTTCTGGCTAAAGAAATAAAAATTTATTCTGACGACGAAGCCTGTAAAGGCTACGAAACGTCAATAAATAAATAAAGTTTCGTGCATTAACCCGTAAAAACTATTTTATTTAATGAGTGATGTGCGTGAAAACGTAAGAAACAAATATAAAAAAACTTTGGCGAAAATCTAGTATTTATTTATATTAACAGAGGTTACATTATAATTATAAAAAAATATGACAAAATTTTTCGGTAAAAATTACAAAAATATAAAAGAGAATGAGATCAAGTACTATAACAATGTTGATAGTGGTGTCGATTCTGGCATGATTCTCTTAATCTAAACTTATATATGACAACAGTGTATGCTTGTCATTCTCCATCCAAAATGAAATGGAGAGACTGATCTTCAACTTAGTTTTATGTTTAGATAATCATGGCAGAATCGACACCACTGTTTTTTATATATTAGTTAATAGGGGGCAAACGAGCAGACGGCGCATCTGTACCCTTAGCACGACCTAATATCGAATTCGAATAGTTTACAAAGCGAAATGACAATGTCAAATTTTGTATGAAAACTTGAAAATTAGCGCCATATCGTACGTAAAGAGAACTAAAAATCAGTACACATTTGACAATGACGTTTCTTACTCGCAAACTATTCGAATTCATGCTAAGGTTACTGATGGTAAGTGATTACTATCGCTGTTTTGTGAATTCGATGTGCTAACTGCCAACCTATAATTAAATTTTTAATTACAAAATTAAGAAAAAATATCAAAATATTTATGGGACCTACGACTAAAATTATCACTAATACCATCAAAGTCATTATAAAAGAATAACACACGTCATCATTGGTGTCGATTCTAGCGTGATTCTCTAAACCTAAACTTAAATTTGACAGCAGGATATCCTTGTTATTCTCCATACAGAATGAAAAGGAGAGACTGATGTTAAATTTAGTTTTAAGTTTAGAGAATGACGCCAGAATTGGCACCATTGTTACAGGAAGCGAAGACTTAGCTAACAAAAAGGTTTGTAATCTATAAATATTTTGAAGTAAATACTTCTTTAGTATCGTTGCGACTTGAGATTCGATGAAAAGATAGTAGAGTATATGGAAGTAGAGTATTTGACACGAGATAGGTAGGTAGGTGTAACTTTGTAGCACATCGCACGCAATAGACGGATAGCTGAACGAAGTCGATCTTAGGGTTGATACCAAAAGATCGGTTATTCGATGCTAAGCTCGGTTGATGTTTTTCGCTAGCGCTTTTAGCAATTTTTGGAACAATATTAAAGATTTAAGTTTGCCCGGTATATTACAATACCTGAATAGTGAAATAATAAACGTTCGGTTGGTAGTTAATATTAACTTTAGCACAGCTCTGGCTTTTTGAAATGAATTCTTCTATAGTAGCGCTGTGACTTGAGATTCGGTGAAACCTTTGAGTATCTATGAGGATGAAACGGAAGTGGAGTATACGGAAGTAGAGTATATGCCACAAGTGTGTCTACGCAACAGGATATACGCTTAGTTAATAATGTCTCCTTGTTTTTTTTTTATTAAAATCGCCTCTATCTAGTGCGCCTAGTATGATCATATCTACGTCTCCATTTAGTTTTTGTCTACTTCGGATTGTGCGGGACTTGGGCTGAAGCAGAAATATACTTATCTGTCGTGTTGTGTTGTACTCTACGTGAATATCCAGAAATTAGTTGCTTGGGTGCAGAGGTGTCGGTGTTGGTGTTGTGTGCTTTTATTTTATTTTCACCGAAGCTATTTTCTCTCTCATTAATTTATCAATATTTACTATAATTATATATTTAAATGTACCATAATTATAATATTATAACCAATGAATGTGTAATTAATTATCGTATTTAATTTAATTTTAATTTCGTTCAATGTAATTGTGAATTTTAATCTAACATTTAAATTCGAGACCTCATCTTCACAAATGAAAATGATCGATTCACTCTCTGAGTAAATGTTTCGCTGATTTTCGCCCGTTCGCATCGCTGCTGCACACGAAAATATCATTGTATAGTTGTATAAATATAATTTCTCTTGTCAATTTTGTATATGTGCATGTTGGTGTGAATAAAGTCTTAACTATATATGATGTGTTGACACCGTCCTTACTGTAATCATTCTCAATGTATGAAACAGATAGCTCTCTGATGAGTCACAGCACAACACGACAGATAAATGTAGTCCTGCAAAAGCGAGGCCGCGGGGCCCCCTAAGGCCGCCTTTGCGCTTAAGATGCGTTTTAGTTTGGTCCCTCTGAAATCATACACCATGAGATTGAAGTATTAACAATACGTCGGTGATTGGTTATCGTACGATAACGACTAAATTATTGGTCGATCACATATCCCAAGTGCGCGTTGGCTCACTTTCTTTCCCGTGTGAATTCTTCGATGTTTGTAGAAATGGCTTATAAATGGTTAATATTTGTTTATCGCATATTATCTAGGTACATTTATAAGGTTTCTCTCCAGTGTGAATTCTTTGATGTGTGGCTAAATGACTATTTTGGGTATATCTTTTATCGCAGACGTTACATTTATAAGGTTTCTCTTCCGTGTGAATAATTTTATGTCTGGATAAATGACCACTTTTAGTAAATCTCTTATTGCAGACGTTACATTTATAAGGTTTCTGTCCCGTATGAATCCTTTGATGACTATGTAAACTACCAGTTTGAGTAAATCTTTTATCGCAGATATTACATTTATAAGGTTTCTCTCCCGTGTGAATTCTTTGATGTGTGGCTAAATGACTATTTTGGGTAAATCTTTTATCGCAGACGTTACATTTATAGGGTTTCTCTCCCGTATGAATTCTTTGATGTTTGAACAAATCATTACTTTTAGTAAATCTTTTAGCACAGACGTTACATTTATAAGGTTTCTTTCCCATGTAAATTCTTTTATGTGTGGATAAATTAAAACTTGTAGTAAATCTTTTATCGCAGAAACTAGAATTACATGGTTTTTCTTTTATATCGGTGTTAATATCGCGTTTATTTATCGAATTTCCACGGTTGCTCCGCGTTACAGAACCAATAATGCTCTCCAATTTGGTTTTATTATCATTTTCATTACAGTTTTCTTTAGTGTTGGTACAATTTTGGTTAGCTATGACGGATATTTCAGAATGAAATTTAGTTATATGACTTTCTAAATTTCTTTTACAAAAAAATACGTTTTTGCAGGTATCGCATGTCAATTTTTCTTTATGATTTTTGACTTTGTTGTGTTTGTTCTTTACTGCATTATTATCGTCACTACTTTTTGTAAAAATTGTTGGTTTACGGAGACTGTCGTTATTTTTGTATTGTGTAATTATCTTGACATCAATATTTTGGGCATCGTTTCCTGTTTCTGTGGTTTCTTCGGTTGTTGTTGACGCTGTTGGAGAATCAATTTGCATTTCCTTGTACTGTTCATTGATCAGGTCTGCTCCTGTAATATTACATTATTCTGTTAATAATCATCATCGGCCGTTTATTTGATGGGTCATAAAAACGAGTAAGTATTTGTTCGCTTGACACTAACAACAAACAAATATTCATAAAATATAAGAATTCTGCAAAAGGAGTGTACTCCTTTTTTGGTAGTCGTGTAATGGGGAAGAAAACGCAAAGCTGATTATACCTAGTCAGGTCATAAATTTCATCATCATCAACAGCCTATTAATGTCCCCACTGCTGGGGCACAGGCCTTCCCTATGGATGGAATAGGGAGATTGGGCCATGACCCACCACGCGGGCCCAGTGCGGATTGGTGGGTGCTAACGACTGCAAATGCAGCCGGGACCAACGGCTTAACGTGCCTTCCGAAGCACGAAGGAGCTCGAGATAGTAAATTTTTGGTCACCCATCCAATGACCGACCAGTGCGAAAGTTGCTTAGCTAGTCATAGATTTATTTATTGTTTATTAGCAACACTAACATTGCGTTAATCATACATGGATATACATATTTTATATTGGTTGTTTACTTGTTAACACAACAATTATAAGTGTTGACGCATTCATAATTATGATCTAACAAATACAATTTTTAGGATTGAATTTTAACTTATAATATTACATATTTTTTATATTACACAAAAAACAGTCTTTGTCACAGATTACACAACTTGCGTTTAAATGTTGACAAAGTATCACAAAATACATCAATACCAGCATTTCTCACACATAGTTCGTTGTATGTTCTACATATTCGTGGTATAGGTGAGTGGAGTCCGACATTCGTTCGACAGTATGGAATATTAACTATACTCATAATTGGTTTTCGCGGGTAGTTATATGGCACTGAAACACCAATTTGGCTAACCAATCAAGGCAGTCAGTTTTGCCGTTCACGATACAGTGCAAAAAAACCATATCCAGCTTTATGCGTCGCTGGCGAAGAGATTGCATCTTGAACAACTTTAATCGATCCTCCTAAATTCTGTCACATGTTTAATATAAAATAATTGAAACAAGTTTATTCATTATGTAACCATTTATATACCAAAATGAACTTAACAAAACATAGATTCTTATGACAATAAAGTTTATTCAAAATGACCTCCGTGATTTTGAATACAGGCTTCAATCTGCGCGGTCAGTCGTCTATCGCAGCACGAACGAGGTCCATGTCAATATCGGCGGCTGCCTTAATCAAGGATGTCTTGAGTGACTCCAAATTGGGATGAGGCTTTGAGCACGCCTTTTCCTCCAAGTGTTGCCATATCTTGTAATCTAACGGACTCAAATCTGGACTGGAGGAGGGCCAGTCTTCGTGCCGGATGAAGTCGATTTCACGCGCCGCCAACCAGTCTTGTGTGCTCTTCGCTCTATGAGCTGGCGCCTAATCTTGTTGGTATCCAGTTATACCCAGTGCCTGTTATTGAACATGGTATGAGAAACAGGTTCCACAAGGTTCTTCAGGACTGTATTTTGATACACAACTGCATTCGTTTTTACACCTTTCTCACAAAAATGTACCTCTGTTAAGCTCCAATAAGAAACTCCCAACCATACCTTGAGCGAGGATGGAAAATGACCTCGTTGGACACGCGGAATATGGTTGCTCGCTTCTTCACTACTGTGTGCGTACACCTTATCATTTTGTTTGTCGCGTTGTGTTATGGCGCGATCGGTTTCATACTTTTAGCACGGTTAGAACTACAATAGTGTATCACGATGTCTCGACACCGTTCTCGCTCTAATCATTAAATGTATGAAACAGAAAGCTCTCTGATGCGACGCAATACAAGACAACAGACAGAAATGTAGATCTGCCACTAGCGAGGCCGTGGGGCCCCCTTAGGCTGCCTCTGCCGCATAAGATGCGTTTTCGACTGGTCCCTATGAAATCTTACACCACGAGATAGAAGTGTTGAACAATACTTCGCTAATTGGTTATCGTACGATAACGACTAAACACACACAACCGCTTATATAAATTATAGTTTATGTACTTAATAATCTTTTAAAAATCTAATGAAATAATATTAAGACCTCGCCATTAGATACATTAATGATGCTATGAAAGAGTGGTTCCTTCTGGTACAGGTGTTAAACATTTAATAGAAGGAACCCATCCTGGTTTGGTGTACAACTAATGTGGTATTTCTGACCTTATAAATTTCCATAAAACATTAAAAGTGACAAGAAGTGATTGCTAAAAATAAACACTCTTTCCAAAATATTTTGTGGTGCACTGCGCATGGCACGACACGCACTTGGCCGGTTTTTTTTTTATAATAATCATCATCAGGCTTATATTTGGTAGGGGCATTAAAAACTAATAATGTGTAACTAATATAATATAAAAAATATACCATACATGAACTCTGATAATATCATCTCCTATTGGCAGTCGTGTAATGAGGAAGAAAACGCATATTTTATTACAGATGGCGTTGTGTTCGTCTGACCCAAGAAAGTTATACACCTAACGGTAACAACAATGCTTACTTGCTGTCCAATAAAGAAATAATTCAAACCTTATCAAAAGTATTTCAGGTCTACTTTCTATTATATTCAAATGAAAGGCAAAACGAAGGAGACCTAGGCACCTGGCGCACTATAGACGGCCATGACCACGGCCAGTCGTGTCCGTGGCCGCAACCTTGGTCACAGGCGATACAGTTGGGCTGCGACCAAGTTTGCGGTCACGACCACGACTGGCCGTAAAGAGGCCACAGTGCTGTCGTTTCTTGCTTTGATTAGTAAATGACTCTTTATCAACGCTAATTGCAGGAGAAACATCGTTGTATTGAGTTGCGGAACGATACGAAGCGTATTCACACACGAACTGTCCCCATGACACTGACAAATTAAGAATGGCTGGTCATGATCTGGGGCCTACAGCCTGTCGGGATTTTTTTATTTCTGACCGCTGAAGATTTTCAAATGCCTCGCTTCTCTCTGGTTGCATGGACCTTTATATATTAACATAAAATAAAATGAGCCTTTAAATAATGGAAAGTAATTTATGATCAAAATTATGTCACAATGAAGATAGACCCCAAAAAATTCTGATAGTGAAGAATAAAAAATTTAGCATCATTGTAGTCTAGGCAACGAATTATAAAGTGGGCGGGGCGAATAAAATGCGATCAACACAATGGGATTGGTTGGGATTCCAGTTTAACATAATCGTACCATGGAATGAATGGATAGCCGAATTCATTTGCAGATATTTGATTTGTCACATTATTTTGTTTTGTCGGTGTGTGTGTGAGCAATCCAAATAAATAACGCAAAGAAAACGGCTCATGTTTCGCGCAATGTGGGTGTAATTCGAAAGCAATTGACTGCTTTGCATGCGTTTGTGGCGACGAGCATATCTACCGTATGTAGTAGATATGTTTTGTGCCGCTTCCGTGCAGGTAATGCGGTACATATAACTAATAGAACAAGTCTGTATTTCTAAAAATATATATAAACAGCCATGACTTAGGTACAAATAATTCGAATTCATCATACAAACATTTGCCCCACCAGAATTCGAACCCAGGACCTCTGAGTAGGTGACACCTCAAAAACCGGTGTTCATACTACTAACACCATGGAAGTTGACAAATGAATACCTACCTGTTTCATTTTCATCTTGCAATTCCTCGAATTCCGATTCAGACTTTACTTTCTCAATATTGAAAGTAGACTCCAGCTTAACCTCTTCTGGGTCTAAAAGCATAATACTCTCCGTTGGCGATGCGGAAAACTCCCAAGGGATATCAGGTTGTTGCTTCACAATCATATTCAGAGTGTATACAGTGGCCTATAAAAAAACTTTCACATAAATTACTAAGTAGAAGAATTTTGCAATGATTAATTAGACTTAGCCATATTACAAAATAGGGACTAAAGTTAAACTCCAATTTTATTAAAGTAAAGCTTGTGTTTTGCCGGTGGTTTGCGTCGCATAGTGCACTCATACCTGCTTGGATTTTTCTATGAAAAATGCGCTTGTACTGACTGAGTAACATAAATTTTCTATATATCCAAAATGAACTGTACTGTTTGTTGCAAAAAGATTGAGGTAGGAGAAATAATCAAATGCAATGGATGCAAGACAGGATATCGTTATGGGTGTGTGAACACCAAAACCGCCACGGACGACACACTCGTATGTGGGGTTTGTGATGCTGTTGGATCTATAGAACCTAATAATAAATCAATCCCTCGAGTAACATGTTTCTCAGACAAAGGTCCAGGTTCTGTCATCGGTTGATATAATTGATAAAATCAATAGAAAGATTATGGAAAAAAATGAGCTTTTGAAGCCAACATAATACAAGGAATAAAAGCCAATGTGACTGTATTGGTGTTGGAAAATAGCAAATTGTGACAGGAATTAAGGAAGCTAATGGTTAATAAGTCACCCTTAACTACAGAACACCTATTATTATTCTTTAACCACCTACCTACGTGTGGTCACAGAGACCCCTGGCAAAATATGTTTACGTACCCAGAGCAAACATGCATAATTTTTTATTTGTTAAGCACAAGTTGGACACTATGTGATGTCTAGGACACTAAATTTGACAACAGTGCATCCTTATCATCCTCTATACAGAATGAAAAGGAGAGAATGATGTTAAATTTAGTTTAAGATTAGAGAATCATGCCGGAATGGAAACCTGTTAGTGTATAATTTTAGCCACTTTCTGCTGAAATGTTTGTATTTTTATAATTAGTCCTTACCACAGACTCAGAACTGATGAGTTGCAACAGGAGCTCGTTTGCCTTTAATGATTTATCTATAAACTTGTGGAATTTTCTTATCATATGGTAGCAAATGTAACATACGCAAGTCGGCCATATGTCACCCATTACAAGCTAAAATAACATATAATAATGATAGATAAAATGTCATAACCAACCTATTAATAAACTTAATGTGTAAATAAACCTTTCCGTATAAATAGAATCACATATTTATGTTGATGGGTGCCAATGCATAATGGACCAAAATCATACTAAATTAGAGTACTCTTTAAAATAAGCTAGTTTTATACCTATTCATAATACATAATAACTAGTTGATGGAAAAAGTGAGAAAACCATAATTTTTAAATTCTAATTTATATTACTAGAACAAAATTGACTTGGTCTTGACAAACAAGTTTCCCTAGTATTTCTTTTTTATACAGAACTAGATGACTCGGTGTACTTCGTATCACCTATCTTAACGACATGTACACCCGCCCTTCGTTAAAATGGCTGAAACATCAAATGTCTGACATAAAATTAAATAAAACAGTTTTTAAGGGAAAATTAAATTGTTGTTTTTACTACCTTCCTTGCAATTTATCTATATTTTGTCACTGTTTACACCTTCCCCAGACCTCTCAAGACCAAGAACATTTCAAGACCAAGATACGATAAATCTGTTCAGCCGTTCTCGAGTTTTAGCGAGACTAACAAACAGCAATTGATTTTTACATATTGAAAGGATTCACTCAGAATAATGAGACCGCTAAACACTATTCACAATAACTTTATTTTCAACCTTTTACAAAATTATATCAAGGAACACACTTTTTCTTCGACAACCGCCTAGAAGTGAATAATTGCCATAGACTACCAAGAAAACATTAAGAACGATCCGTTCGGAAATCGATCAAAATTATACATCGATATAAAGATTATTTTAATATGTTAAATAATATGAAGATAATTAAATATAACAATCAGATAAAACAAATTAATAATAAATCAAGACTATTTCTTAATGTTACCTTTCATTCGGCCAATTCTGACATCAGACGCGTCCGCGCGTAACGTTTATCATAGTGAAATCATTTAAATATATAAATATCTATTTATCTGTACTCTTATTATTTATACATAACATATTATTGCTATCACTTATTATACCTGCACTTATCATATAAATATGAATCACTCAAGACATTCTAATGACTCTAATAGTATTGTAATCTTCACTTGTTTACATACAGTAATAATATTGTACTTATTCAAACATATGCCCACGCAAATTAGCATCGGCTCTCTTTTCACCACGCAAGTTGAATCTCTTATGTCTCTGCCAGTTGGCGGCGACTCGCTTTTACAAACTTACTTCACTATATTAATGAAATATTTATTAGTACATACTCGTACATGCTATTGGTGCCAATTCTGGCGTGATTCTCTAAACTTAAAACTAAATTTAACTTCAGTCTCTCTTTTTAATTCTGTATAGAGAATGACAAGGATATACTGCTGTCAAATTTAAGTTTAGGTTTAGAGAATCATGCTAGAATTGACACCATTGTCTCTGCTGCGGCAGCGACTCACTTAATCACTGATCATAGCCCAGTATGACCAAATAGGTGCTATTGTCTCTGCTTTTTCAGCAGCGACTCCCTTATTCACTAATAACAACATTATTACGCGGACTTGACGTAATGTCTCTGCTGTTTAGCAGCGACTCACTTTACATGTTCAGCTGACATATATGCAATTTCTATTAACGTGTGTACTTAATTTATTTTATAACAAAATATTTAAAATGATTATCGAACATAATTTTTGTTTTTTTTTTTACATACTATTCATACCCCATCTTAACCAATAATAATTTGTATATAACATTACATTTTATATCACAATCATTGACCTCCCTCTTTATTATACATATATTGTAATAGATCAACTTTCTACTTATTCAGTGTCGATTCGTTCGTCAGATTCACTTGAAATTGGATCATTCATAAACACTAGCCACGGATAAATTTTATCTACAGAATAAATACCCGTATATTTAGGTCTACCCTCTTTTCGCGTTATAGGAGTATCCTGAACCTCGTAACGGTCATTATCTAAGACCTTAGTAATTCTAAAAGGCCCTGAACATTTCTGAGCTAACTTTCTACTGACACCCGGTGCTGTATATGTATCCTTTTCCACTCTTACAAGGTCACCAATTTTGTATACGTGTGCTACCTTTCTTTTTCGATCAAATCTAATTTTTTGTTTCTCTTGCTCAGAGGACATTCGCTTTGCTACACTATCTCTAATTTCGTCTAAGTTTTTTATAGGGTTTGCTTCAGAAATTAATGTATTCATAAGAGTATCACAACTGCCTGTAGGTGATACACCGAAAAGTGTTTCAGCAGGGGTTTTACCCGTCCCTTTGTTAATGGTATTATTGAGAGCCCATTATTTATTTTTTATTTATTTAAACTTTATTGCCACAATTACAAAATGGACAAAAGGCGGACTTAACGCTAAAAGCATTCTCTGCCAGTCAACCTTTAGGAGTACAGAAAGACACGAATGCGGCTTTAGTAAAGAAGTAATTAACTAATATAAACATACTATAATAGAAAGTACTTATCTTATACATAATAACTAAATATACATGAGCACAAGACATATAAATATATATACACACACACACACATACAATAATATATATATATACACACATACATATATATAAAATCTATCGATGATGAGACTGAAAGGGACTTATGAAAGGAGTTTAACGTTAGTGTGGAAGGCTATCCAGAAGAAATGCATGAATTTTCTTTTTAAAAATTAACCTATTAGGTGACTTTCTAATGGAGTCAGGGAGGCTGTTCCAGAGTCGTGAAGATTGAAGGGCAAAGGAATCAGACATATAGCCAGAGTGAACGAGAGGTTGGGATAGAGCAAGAGTATCACTAGAACGAAGTTGAAGGTTATGTGTGTCACAAAGATACTGAAATTTGGATCTTAAATAGTCTGGAGAGTGTGGGTTAAAGAGAATTGTATACAGAGTACATAACATTCTCTGCTGTCTTCTTTGACGTATAGGAAGCCATTTAAGTTGAGATCTGTAAGCAGATATGTGGTCAAATTTACGAAGACAGAAGATGAAGCGGATGGCATTGTTGATAAGACGATCCAATTTATTTAGAAGATCAGCATTCAGATCGGGGTAACAGACATCAGCATAATCAATGAGCGGAAATATAAGAGATGTTACAAGCAAAATTTTTGTTTTGATGGGGAGAAAATTTCTGAACCGATTCAAGAAACGAAGTGAGTAAACAATCTTGCGGCTCACTTCGGCAATTTGTGTGGTCCAGCTGAGAGAGGAATCAATGTAAAGACCAAGATTTTTAACACTTAAACTAAGCGGCAGTATTGTGCCTTCATACATGACAGGCCGGAGAGAACTATGGTCAATTTTAGCTATTTGTTTAGAGCCACCTACGATAATGGCCTGACATTTAGTTGGATTCACTTGAATTCCAAAGTCAGCAGACCAAGCACTGATACGTTGCAATTCATAATTTATCATGGAAATGGCCATATCAACATCCTCAGCCAAAGTCTGGGTATAAATTTGTAGATCATCAGCGTAGAAATGGTAGGAGCAGCTAAGCGAGTAGGAAAGGAAGTTAATGAAGGCAGAAAATAACAAAGGAGAGATAATACCACCCTGGGGTACACCAGCATTCAAGGTATTCCACTTTGAAAGGTTTTGTCCAATACGAACTGCCTGTTGACGGCCCCAGAGGTAGGATGAGAACCAATCCAGTGACATTGGTGAGAAGTTGTAGGATTTCAGGATAGCAAGGAGAATATCGTGGCCAACCATATTAAAAGCGTTAGAGAAGTCTATGAGTACCATGACTGTAACCAACTGTTTCTCCATGCCTATCCTGACGTCCTCAGTAACTTTGAGCAAAGCCGTAGTGTTCATTATCAGGTTTCCCATGATTAACTGCGGTCAGTGAATCAACTAGCGTTCTGTTATAACGCTCTATTTGACCATTTGCTCGAGGTGTCGCGACTGCGTTGAGAATGTGTTTGATGCCTTTTTCAGAAACAAATTTTGTAAATTCACGACTAGTAAAGCTAGACCCTCGATCTGTTATTAACCGTCGCGGCACCCCGAACAAAGAGAAATATTCTTCAAAAATATGTATACTAGTTTTACTCTTACAATCTTTGACAGCCTTAATATAAATATACTTGGTAAAAGAATCTATTATAGCCAGTATGTGTTGATTCCTCTTCTTACTCATGGGGAAAGTGCCACAATGGTCAGCATTCAAAGTATCGAATGGTTTACTTATTTTCTCTATAGGGTGCAACATACCTTCTTTTGACCCCGCCGGCACCTTGTTGTGGGCACATTCAAGGCATGCTTTACAGTACTTTTTTATGAATCTTCTCATTTTGCTAAACCAGTATACCTTTTTTATCCTCTCATAAGTCTTCTCTGTGGTATGTTGGGTGATGGCGGCAGGTTATAATAAATACAAAGACGTAGATAGGTTGGTGTCCATTTATTGAAGAAGGCTTAATGGTACAAAACATACTTATTTATAATATTAGTGCACTACGTAGTTACACACACACACACTTATAAAATATAACACACAATATTATTACAAAACATCAGCATTTCACGTGGCCTACTTTCGTGTCATTCAATGTTGCGTTGTATTATTAATACATATTTATTAAATTATTTTCATACTATCACACGCCCCCCAAAAATCTCCATTACACCCCTCTCCTCAAAAAGAAAAAAAAAGTGTTACATTTTTTTTCAACCACATACATTCAGCTAAATATTATCATTATAAAGTTTCGTATTATTCTTATGTACTACGTACTCTCTATTATTTTTTAATATCTTTACATTAGGTGACAATTCCTCTATTACTTCATAAGGGCCGTTATACACTCTATCTAACTTATCTCTTATTTGATTTTTTACCAAAATTAAATCTCCTTTTTTATATGATATCGGGTAGCTATTTTTATCAAATGTACTTTTTTCTACATAATTTATTAGTTAATAAATTTTTTCGCGCATCACACAGTGCTCT